AACTTATCCCCATCGAACTAAATATATCTTACTAATAGGTTAAAAAGGGAAAAAGTGATTATTTATTTGCTATACAATGTTAACAGAATATTTTTTGACTTAAAGCTTTTAGATTTATTATGTATTTTCATTGGTTCGAATCTCGAAAAGTGTTATTTTTTCACTATTTGATATTTCTCTCTACACTGAGAATTAACCATTTAAACTCCTAATATTTCACTGGTGAAAATTAAATAGATGGGATGATTTGTACACAAATTTAAAGGAGTGTTCTGTGTTTAAACGTTATATGCAAATAAAACTGAATTATACCTTTATCTGTTAGTGTATAAAGCCCATTTCATTGCATACTGAAACATAATACCTACAGAGGGCATTAAAAAATTACCAGATATAATGCTGAAGGGGTTTTATTGACTCTAAAACTTAATTAACACTTTGGGGGTTATTTCCAGGTATGACCCTGCGCTCGTTATACTGTTGATGAGGGGTGCACATCTCTGGTAAAATGTGGGCGGTATATGACATTTGAAACATTATCCCATCCTATATAATACATTATTGGGTCAGCAAATGTATATATCCAGGTGCCTAACACATTATAAGTAACAGGTGTCCCTATAAGTGTTATATTTCATTGTCGCAGCAGACGTATCTCGGCTGAAAATGTTCTAAACAGACCAGAACAAACCAAAAAACACATCAAACCAATTCTGTGAATGAAATCAAAATGTTTTTCGTTTTGAAACCTTAATTCATGGTTATCCCCCAAAAGGTATGGTATCTATTTCCCACGGTGGTTTTGTGTTTGGTTTTAGTGACATCAGGTGCTGTGATATACATGCCATGTTTGTGGCCTGTTTGTGTATTTCTGATGTAGGATAGGTTAGGTATGGCTTACATCAATTAGATAATGCATTTAACATCTGAAATGCATAACAATAACAGCTAGTTACCGTATTTTGCCTGTAATAGGCCCACAAGGACCGGCTTTAGTCTGAAGTCTACATAAGACTGTATAACTGTTAGCGAGGTCATTGTGATGACCCTGTAGAGAGGGGAAGAGTTGCCCCGGACAGATATGAACACTTTTGTTTGTCATTGAAAACCTTTTTATGAATTACAGTAAAATACACTTACTAGAGCATGTGTTTATATATCACTGGAACAGAGAATGTGTTTATAATTGGTAAATTACACATACTAGAGCATGGGTTTATCTTTGGTAAATTATGGTAAAAATACTCCTATCAGAGCACAGATTTATCACTAGTAAATAATGGAAAATTACAAATACTAAAGCTTGGGTTTCTCACTGGTGAATTACACTTATTAGAGCATGGGTTTATTATTAGTAAATTACGGTAAAATACACATATTAGAGCATAGGTTTATTACTGGTAAATTATGGTAAAATACACATACTACAGCATGGGTTTATGATTGGTAAATTATGGTAAAATACACATACTAGAGCATGGGTTTATTACTGGTAAATTACGGAAAAATACAATTACTAGTGCATGAGTTCATAACTGGTTAACTATGGTAAAATACACATACTAGTACATGGGTTCATAACTGGTTAATTACAGTAAAATACACAAACAGAGCATTTGTTTATCATTGGTGACTTGTGGTAAAATAGATAAATTGGAGCATGGCTTTAAAAACTATGCTAAAATACACGTACTTCTGTCAACCTTTTATATATATCCCACATGGCTCTGTATAAGATAACCAAGGAGTCAACTAAAGAGCCATTCCAATGATTGTAACATCCTGTTTTCTGTCAAACACTTCTCTGGGAATGCAGCTCATAACATTCGAAAAATGAAAGAGAAAAAAAAATTGAAATACTTAAATTTTAAAGAAATGCACATTAATTTATTCAAGTCTAAATACTTAACATTTTCCCACAATTTAAGTTGTGAAAAGGGGGTGGGCTAAAATCGCAAGCCTATAATGGCCTATTATGAGTAATATGAAAATGTTCATGTTACTGAAGAAGGTTTTGTTGAAACCTCTCATACAGAGGAGATTGAAACATCTCTTATGATAACGGCTCCTTTAAAATATGTACAAGCTATAATGCTTGTCCAGAGTAAAAAATGTAAACCCCTCGAAATATTGGGTATAATTCAGATGTTGGACAAGGGAGTTGACAAAATAAAATGTCATCACCACAATCGTCTTAAGAGCAATTTTTTTTGAAAGCATTTGATTTAAAGAGAGCACTCCTCTAAGAATGTTGAAGTGTTTTTCTGAAGGAATTTTAATCCAGCCTGCCTAGATAGGGCAGCACACTAACATTGGTTTGGTGGTCTTATCTCTCTTGCTGAGCTGAACAATGGCTGTGGCTAGAGGACGGCTTAAAACTTTTATCACTCTTGAGAAGGTGTAAAGAAAGTATTGGAGATATAGCGGGTCAAGGCTGATTTTTTAAGAGGGAAATGCAGTTATAATTCAATTTCCCTGGTTCGGTGTGAAGTTTTGAATCCAAGTGTAAAAAAATATATATTTATATATGTTCTTTTGCTCCAGCAAATATTTACATGAATGTTCTTGCTCGTAAAATCATAAGTGTCACCATAGTAAATGACCTGTAATTTGACAGAGCTTTTTCAAACTCAAAATTGATAAACTAGGGCAAAATATGAACAAAGGACAGATTTACATGACCACACTTGAAAAAGTACAAGGAGAATAAGACCAGGTGTTCCAGAAGGGGAAGCGCCTTCTGCTTCATTGACAACACCCATTATATAAATCTTAAGTTGAATCCAAGTAATGACACATCCTCACATTGAAAACTCAAGTTGTGACAGCAAAACCGCAAACTTTGACTTCTTTTACAAGACCAGATATAATGTGACCAGGCCAAATGCTGTGCAGCTAGGTGCCTTCAGCATGGCATTTCAGTGAGTAGCACTCTAAAGTTGGCATCATATCCGCGCTATCACAAGGAGGCAAATACACCAACATACCCTGTCTCCTGCACACACACATGCGGGCCCGCCTGCACTAAACACATGGAGGCACGTCCTTAAATGACCTTAGCTGTTGATAGGACGTTAAACAAAATTAAACCTAGCTAAACCAAACCCTACGTTTCTTTTCAATATTGAGTGATGATGCATTCAAGTCTTTAAAATGCTGTTGCTTTAAAATTCTTGGTACCTCAGTAGGGATTGAAGACCTGTGAAAATACCAATACCGTTAAACTGCACTTGAGCACCGAATGTTTGCTGTGCATGTTTACAAATCCTAGATGTATATTTTACTTATAAACGAATGCTTGTTCTTTAGGGCCTATTTTTTAACCCTTCAGGATAATAACAAAGCCTTTCGATGTTTTCACTATGAACTGTTTAGTAAAGAAACCTGGCTTGTCTATGTATTTTTATTCGGCACAATACAAACAAAGCGAATTTCAAAAAATAAATATCACTGTTTAAAATCACAAAGGTAAACAACGTCCATGATATACACAAACTAAAATGTGTGCTTTTTACCTGTTTTACAATGTGAGTTTATATGTACAAGAATACCTAGTTAATAAATAAATTCAATTTAAAATCTGATATCAAGCTAAGGGAACACGCCACACTTTACCAAGTCAGTGGTTTGTGGGGCAGGGTTGAATTATAATACATCAGTGTTAAAAGTTCTTACTTCTTTGTACAAAGTACCTGACATTTGTACCTGTACATATTTAGATAAAAAGGTTATAACTTAACCCCAACAATGTGGTAGATCCTGTTGCCTGTACAACTAATGCTTTATCTATGGACTTTTGGAATTTGACTGTTTAACCTGTATCGGGGTTTCTTAACCACCGTCGATTTATCAGTTTACTCGGTACATCAGGGTGTCCATTGTCCTGAATTTGTTACCGTTTCCCCTGAAGAAAAGATTCGCCACTGTCATTTTGTTAGTTTCTCCTGTTTAAGAGTTCTGCTTCTGTCATTTTGTTTTTGAGTTGCCCCAGTTTCAATAGTTCACGTACGTCCGCCAACCTATTGCTGTTTCAGAGGTTTCATTTTATCAATAAGACTCAAGTTTGTTTCGCTAGTATCATTTCTTTCCCTCTATGCCAAACCCAGCTACCCATTTCAAAAGATGATGTTACTGAACTTCTTTTGGCCACGCACCAAGACCTTTCAATTTTCCCAACGTCATTGTTGTCTTCTTCTTCACTTTTTCACCCAATAATGTTATTGCCGAGTTTGTGAAGTACCAATTCAAACATGAATGTCAGACTTGAGTTGATATAGCAACGGTTAAAACATTTCTGATGTGTCGTGGAAAACTGTGTACCATAAATGTCCTTATAAAGTGTCTGTCGCAATGAAATATAGCTGTCTTGTACTTTAAACTTATATCCATGAAAATTTGAATGGTCTAGCTTGGCTAAAGTGTTGTTTGTAATGCTGTTGCAGATATGCATATTATATTACAAGTGTTCCACTAAAGTGGAGCAGGTTCCTTGTAAAGTCTTCCATTGAAATTTGTCTTGTCCGAATTACCTGCAGCCAAGGCGCTTAGGAGGACAGATAATGTATATATACCTATTAAACCAAAATGTTGTAAACTGTGTCAAGAGGCTGTATATACACAAGGGTGACTATAGGACAAACCATTGGCTTTCCACTTATAGGGGAGTACTGTTCCCTCCTCACTCCACTGTCGTGTTACCATGGTTTTATACGCCCAAATAAAAAGGAAAACAGTTAAAGTTAAAACGGCTTTTAATGTCACCCAAAAAGAGATCTTTAAGGCTGTACAACCAGAAATTACAGGCTTAAAAAGTAATTCACCCAAAAGTAATCTTCTGAAATCAAAACTGCAAAAGAACGGCAATGCAAGTAGAAAAATATATATATTGATGTTTTAAATGATCTGATATGCAATAACTATGGGAATGTTGATAGTAGAAAGTTTTCATTAAAAGAAAGTACCCTCATTCAAAATATATATATATGTTTTATATTTTTCAGAAACTACAGCCTGGGAAAGGAGATGCAGGTAAAAGCATGTTTTTATTAATTCTACATAAATTATAATAAACATATTATAAGGTAGAGAGTCCCCAACACTCATTGTTATATCATCATCAAAGAAAAGGTGTAATTGGACTTGGACATTTCTTGCCAGTTTACTATATATCAAAAGCGTAATAATTGAAAGACATGTATTTTTTTCTAAGATCCTTTTTCACATCGTTGAACCACTTGCATGTGTATCAAGTACAAAGCTGATCAACTTTACTATGGTCCTGATATTTGTTATATTGAAACTTTTCTGCAACATTCCTAGGAATAATTTCAAAAAGGGCCTGTAACTTTTCATTGCCTTAATTTGTATGGATGTGGAGGACCCATAATAAATCAAAACATAATATGCCTGCATATATGTACAATAACAAAAAGTGTTGGAACACTCTACCTTTGTCCATACTAACTTGCATTTATACCAAAGGAATTTTGCAGGAAGATATTCCATGCTTAAGAGTCCCAAAGTTGTAGAATAACTGTGTGATGTTATTTTGAATATGTATATGTATAGTGTTATATCTGCTTGTGAAATTATTTCGGAAAAATATTAAAGACCATATTGCTGTACCACATTGGTAGATGCAGGTAAGTCGTTTATTGTTTGCCAAATAAGGAATGCAGGTGATGCTGACTAATGCCATATAAGGAGTGCAAGAGATGCTGGCTAATAAGGCCCTTTCATTCATTCACCCCTTCAGTTCTAAACTGGACTTGCCCCGTCTTTGATTTGGTAAGGTTCAAATGTGACTTTAGGGGTGAATGGGTTAAATACCAGGCTTTCATCTGTTCGGTTACATAGGGTTTCATTGATAACTGATGAAGACCTTAAGTAGATGATCAAATTATAAACTAGTTTATTTCAATACATATCACCAACTAGATATATCTGTAACAACAGGTGACAGGTAAAACAAAAAAGGCAACTTCTTCTTTCAATTTCTAAATCGCTGCAGTCACTTGACATACTTTTACCCAGTTAACCCTTTCACCCCTACGTAACTTTAATTAACTCTACCATGCTTTGATCTGGATAAGTTTATTATGGTCTACAGTGGTAAAAGGGTTGAAGATGATCTACATATTTCATTTCAGTAATAATTACCATAACTTTAGTATGCATATACAATACCTACACCCATCTTTGTAGCCCAAAAACAAAAGATTCAAATATCCCTACCTCCCTACCGTGACGTAACCTCTATCTCGATGACAGAGCCACGGAGTGATCTCCCTTCCTCTTCCTTTTATGGCGCCTGCTGCATGCTGACGCACGGAGATTGCTCCAATTTAAAACTTTGTTTTGTCGGTTTGGTTTGAGTGTCAACTCATATTTTTGCGCAGTTTGTGTGCGTTTTACCCATCTGCCCTTATTGATATAGCTAATTGTGTTGAAAATTATTTTTGTGCCTTTTACGGCCGGTTATTTTACTCCACGTGTGCCGGTGCCACTGTCCGCCATTATCGTGGGTTAATTTCCGACCTCTGTTTATTTCGGTGACGGTTGTTTGTTTCGGCAAACGTTATTTATTTTAACCGTTTTCTGATTTATATTACGGGTGAAATTCTTTCTACGTTGCGTACTTTGTACTATCGTATTTTATCCTTATTTTCCCGTTTTATCTGCTTGTAAATTTTTTGTTTACGTTCGCTTTGGAGGGTATGTCTCGGTCGGGACAGCGACGAGGTAGTGCTCATGGGTGTTCCCATTTCTTTGTGGAACGGGACCCTCATGATGCCTGTCCCAGGTGTCGTCCTTGCAGTGAGGTTTCGCCTTGTGAACTTTGTTCACAGTCAAAATCTCAGGGCAAGGACTTCATTGTTCCAAAGCTACCCTCAACTTACCGTAAGACAGATTCGTCTGTTTCTTCCGGTAAGCGAGGGAAGCAGAGAGGTAGGGGTCGTGCCACCAGCTCTCTGGGGTCTGGTGGTACTGTCTCTGTTCCTGTCTCGGGGGGTCTTGCTTCGGCAAGTCCCTCTCGTGAGCAGGGGGTGGCCCTTCCTGTCCAGGAACTCCCTGGAGTAGGGGAGGGGCAGCCTGACCCTGGCTTGGCACAGCCAAGGGTCGAATTGGCCGGGAACGCCCGTAAGCTTTCGCGCTTGCCTTCGGGTAGGGACTACCGGCCGCCGGTCACTGACTCTGTCAGTGATCCCGGCATTCCAGGTGGTGCTGTCGTTGGGGACAGTCTTGGTGCCGGGCCTGTTCTTTCGGGTTCAGGTCCTGGTGTGACAACAGACTTTCTTTCGGGATTGTCTGTGTCTACCGGGATTAGTGACGCGCAGCTCACTAATCCCGGCATCAATGCTGGTCAGGCATACCCTCCCGGTCAGTTACCCGGACCCGGTCCTATTAGGTCCGGTCCCGAGTTTCATTCTTCTGGGAACCTGGGGGGTTTCCCCCCAGGGGTTGGGTTTGCTGGACAGGGGGCCGGTTTCCGGCCTCCGTTTTCCCCTGGCTTAGGGTATACGGGTGCCTGCGGGCAACCATCCTTGGGCCGCCCTTACCAGCCTGCGGATGGTTTTGGGTTGCGGCAGCATCCCGGCAGTTACGGGCTTAGCCCGTACATGTCCGGGTTTCCACCTGGAGGGAGTGGCGGTCCACCTTCGCCCTTTGGGCAAGTTGGCCAGCCCCAGTCTCAGGCAGGCCAGTTTGGCCAGTTCTGGGGTCACTCCCAGCCCGCGGGACCTTTCCCCTATCCTCCGGGATATGGGTTTAACCCCATGGCATTTCCGTCATGGAATCCTTGGGGTTTGGTCTCTCCCTCGCGGAGACGTGTTAGCA